AAAAATAAAATATAATTATTTGGGGAGGGAGCAAATGGTTAATTTATGGAAGAATATTAGGACTTTGTAGCATATAAAAGATACTATTAGAATATAGAATTCAAATAGGGTGAAGGGCTTAGGGTTTTGGAGGCTTGGGGCTTACGGGTACCAGACTTACAGGTTTTTGGGTTTGGGTTTATAGTTAAGGTGTAGGGATTTGGGATTAGGGATTAGGATTAGAGATTAGGGATTAGGGCTTAGGGTGTAGGAATAGGGAATAGGGATTACGGATCACGGATTAGGGGCTAGGGGTTAGGATTTGAGTTTTATTGTTCTTTTGTTCCACCTCCTCATCATTTTTGTCCTATTTTTTTTCATTATTGTTGTTTGTTATCTTTTGAATTTTCATTTTTATGTGCGTAATTAATCTAATGTGTGTTTTGATTTCAATTGTTAGTAGAATGGACGAGATAAGCTAATAGGAGTTTGTAGCATGTAAAAGATACTAATGGAATATAGAATTCTAATAGGGGCTTTGGGCTTTGGAGGCTTGGGGCTTACGGGCTTTTGGGGTTTTGGATTCATAGTTAGGGATTAGGGATTAGAGCTTTTGGGAGTAGGGATTAGGGATTTGAGTTTATTGTTCTTTTGTTTCTTTTGCTCCACCTCCTTATCATTTTTATCCAATTTTTTTCCTTTATTGTTGTTGGTTATGTTTTGGATTTCATTTTTATGTGCGTAAGTAATCTAATATGTGTGTTTTGATTTCAGTTGTTAGTAGAATGGACGAGATAAGCTTGCAAAGTGGAGTTTAAGAGTGAAAAAATAAGTATAACTATTGTCCAAATTCCATTGTAACCTGCGATGAACCATCCTATTTGCTTATGGTTGTTTCCTTTGTTGATCTTGGAATTTGGAGACATTGCTTTCTTTCATGGTTATCTTTTTGAGGAGACTAAAATGATGAATAAATGCTGGTTCTCTCCATAACTATTGGTAACGCATTAGTTTTCGATAATGATTTTGGTGTTTTATTTTCCTCCTGCAGGGTGCCTTTGTTCTTTGTTGTCTATTTAAGAAGCATGATGAAAAGCAAGATGAGAATGTTAAAGACGAAGTTGAACAAAATATTCCTTCTCCTTCAGTAGTTAAATTTCCCTCTGATGGTACTCACTCAGAGCCAGTTACCCCAGTGATGGGTAGACAAGCTGGATTGTATTCTCCAAGTACTGAAGGTGGGCATGTTGAAACTGAGAGTCCAACACTTTATGCTCCTTTACCTATTGACCAGGACAGCAGTAGCCTTGTTGTTGATGATACAAAAGATAAATTGTTAGACATACAATCCCTCCTGGTGTGGAGTTGAACTAACTTCTAGTTTATATTAGATTAAACCATGTTTCTGTGTTAATTGGGAGTCCAATAAAGTACTTATAATTCTTTCTTCTTTCATAATTTAGCCGGACCCCGAGCTGGAATAATTTTTTGGGAGATCTTTGTGACCCTATGCCAGAGCCACTCTTTTTTCCGTTGCACTCGCACTCGCAGATGCAGGTGGACCTTGGATCTTCCTACTTATTTGGTCCTCTTAACGGCGACATCGGTAACAACCACACCTAGATGCAGTTTCAACCAGATACAAATGCATTAGATATCAATGAGTTCCTGGACATGGTCCCAGTTGGCTCAGATGAGCATTCTTGTGAAGATTCTGGCAGTAATAAGATTTCAGCTGTTGAAAGTGAAACTAAGTGCATTTATACTATAGAGGGTGTTGCCATTAAGGACAGCGGATCATGTAGCGACTCTGATGCAGAAGTGGTCCAAGGACAGGTAATGGAAGTTTCTGAGCATCTTGTAGTTTTCTTTTGCAAGGTTACTGCTACACTTGATGTGTTTCAATGTGCAGTTCAAATTTCTATTGTTTTCAACATATTTTTAGAAATGCTGTTCTAAGAGAATTAACACTATGTTGCTTTTGTGTTCTTCAGCTTGAGCCAGGCTTTTGTGTTGGTGAGTTGCTTGAGGAGAATGTTGATTGTGGGGTTCTTTTACAGATGGACACAACTCCTGATATATGCAGCAATAAATAATCACAGGGGAAACTTTGGTTTTCTGCAAAACAATTACAATTCTGTGCATGATGATTTCTCTGTAGTTTCTGCTGGCGATCATATCTACAGTTTGTTCAACATTGAAGAACCAAGCAATCAGAGCAATGTAGTCGGCAGTGACGATACTTTTGGAACGGGCATTAAAAGGAGGACTCGGCAGCCCCAAAATCAATTACATGCCCAAAACTTTGAAACTCAGGGAACTGCTATGAGACGAATTTGTTGGTAGGTGGAACCTCAAGTTGGACCCGTTCAATGTAGTCTGCCTAGAGCTATGTGCTCTAGTGAAGAAAATCATGAAATAAAACCACCAGGGGCTGAGGCGAGAATTTTTCTTGGTGAAGCTTGCTGACTTTCATACTGCTTCTTTGGTTCTGATATCCATTAAATTGGCATGTGCAGGATGAAAAAGTTACCAAGAAGTGTACTACAACAGATGAGACGCAAGATATATTCACTCCTGAATCAAAGCAAAGATGGTGCAGAACTTCCTCAGGATTTGAGTACGACTGTGGATTCAAAAGAAGATTTTCCTATAGGTTGCCAGAAAAAGGTCCTCTCGGTGTCCTCAAAGGTTGCGGCATTGCGTTCAATTTTACCATCCGTGCATATGCCTTGGGTACTTCTAGTTGTAGGTGTGTTAATGTCTCATTTTCACCCTCCTCCTCCGCCTTCTTATTCGTTCTTCTGCTTCTTTGTCCTCCCCTTTCACTTCCTCGTTTTCTTTCTTCCTTTTGCTTTTCCTCCTCCTTTTCCCCTTCCTCCAACGTCGTCTTCTTCTACGTAAATTTTGAGCAGCATCTAGGCATAGAGGAGACATCTTCTTCTTCTCCTTCTCCTCTTCCTCTTCGTTCTCCACATTTTCCTCCTTATTCTTTTCCTCCTCCTTCCTTCCTTCTCCTTGTCTTTCCCCTCCTGTTCATTATCCTCTCTCCTCCTTTTTCTTCTTCTTCCTCCTCCCAACTCTATCAATTTACTCCTTCCTCCCAATTTTCCTCCTTTCTCTTTCCCCTCTCCAGTTCCTCCTTCCTCTTCCCCTCTTTCTCCTCCCTCATTCCTCCCTCATTCCTCCTCCTCCGTTTACTACTCCTCTACCTCCAACTTCTCTTCCCTTCAACTACTCCTTCTTCTTCATCCTCCTTCAACTCCTCCCTTCTTTTACGTCAATTTCGAGCAGCAAATTTAATTGGCTTTCTTTTACATGTAAAATGTATTTTACACACCTATTTCTACATCCTCTTGTGTTTCTTACTTGTTATGATCATTGTTTCTATTATTTTCAATTCCGAACACTCTCATTAACCCCCTATTTGCTTTTCATTTTTCGTTATTGTTTTCATATTTTGCACAACCTATAATTGCATAACATTTCTTTGATTATTTGTTCTTTGTTTGCTTTTCTATTAGATAAATTATGTTTTATTTATTTTTTTGAGTTGTTGGTTTATAGTTAGGGGTTGGGAATTAGGGCTTAGGGAGTAGGATTTGAGATTAGGAATTAGGAAATAGGACTTTAGAGATTAGGGATTACGGATTACGGATTAGGGGTTAGGGGTTAGGGGTTAGGGATTTAGATTTATTGTTCTTTTGCTTCTTTTGCTCCACCTCATCATTCTTATCCTATTTTTTTTTTATTGTTTTTGTTATGTTTTGGATTTTCATTTTTATGTGCGTAACTAATCTAATGTGTATTTTGATTTCAATTGTTAGTGAAATGGATGAGATAAGCTTGAAAGCGGAGTTTAGGAGCGAAAAGATAAGTATATCTATTTGTGCAAATTTGATTGACTTTCTTTTACATGTGAAATGCTTTTTACAAATGTCTATTTCTACATCTTTTTGTGTTACTTGTTATGATCATTGTTTCTATTATTTTCAATTCCCAACACTCTCATTATCTCACTATAATTGCATAGAATTTCTTTGATTATATGTGCTTTGTTTGTTTTTCTATTAGATTAATTATGTTTTATTTCGACTTTTTAGCTTGTCAGTTTATAGTTAGGGGTTGAGAATTAGGGCTTAGGGAGTAGGGATTTGAGATTAGGGATTAAAGATTTGGGTTTTAGAAATTAGGGATTAGGAATTAGGGGTTTGGGGTTAGGGATTAGAGATTTGGGTTTATTGTTCTTTAGCTTCTTTTGCTCCACCTCCTCATCATTCTTATCCTATTTTTTACTTTTATTGTCTTTGTTATGTTTTAGATTTTTATTTTTATGTTCGTAACTAATCTAATGTGTTCTTTGATTTCAGTTGTTAGTGGAATAGACGAGATAAGTTTGAAAGCGGAATTTAGGAGCAAAAAGATAAGTATATCTATTTGTGCAAATTTGATTGATTTTCTTTTACATGTGAAATGTGTTTTACACATGACTATTTCCATATCTTCTTGTGTTTCTTACTTGTTATAATAATTGTTTTTTTTTATTTAATTCCGGACACTCTCATTAACCCACTGTTTGCTTTTCATTTTTCGTTATTGTTTTTCATGTTTTTACAACCTATAATTGCATGACATTTCTTTGATTATCTGTGCTTTGTTTGGTTTTCTATTAGATAAATTATGTTTTATTTCTTTTTTTTGGGTTACTGCTACTGCTAATGCTGTTGCCTGCAGTCCTGTTTTACTGCAGTTTTTTCACTGTTCATGTGCTCTATTCAGCTGTTTTGTGTGGTTGCTGCTCAGCTGGTCTTTCATCAGGAGGCACTGTTCACGTGAACAGCTGGGCTGCTGCTGCGGATGGGCTCTTCCAGCTGATCCTTGCTGGGATTTTAGCTGGTCTTCTGATGGTCTCTCAGCTGCCATGTCAGCTGGAATTTATTATTCTTTTTGTGCCTGCTGCTGAATCATGTTCTGATGACATTTTCGGGCATTCTTTTTTGCTTGCTGCTACTTGTTTCCTGCTTTCCTACACTGTTCACGTGTGCTGTTCATGTGACTGTACACGTGAACAGTCCAGCTGCTGCCATGCTGATTTTATGTGTTTTCCAGCTGATTTTTCTGCTCTTTCAGCTAGATTATCAGCTGGTCTTTTGTCCCTTTGCGCCTTTCAGCTGGCCATTATGCTCTTTTGGGTAGGCATTGATGGAGGCCTCTTCGTTTCTTTTCAGCTGGATTTCCAGCTGGATTTTAATGGTTTTTCAGCTGGATTTTCAGCCTGTTCCATCTCCTTCTGCTCCATTCAGCTGCTGCTGTTTATGGTTTCTGCTTGGTGCTTTTGGCTGCAACGGTTGCATCATTCAGTTGGTCCTCTTGCACCTTTCTTTTTTTGGTAAAGCTTTTGCTTCTTGTAATCGTGGCTTTTATTAATAATATTTCTCTTTAAAAAAAAAAAAAAGGGAGTAGGATTTGGGATTAGGGATTAGGGGTTAGGGGTTTGAGTTTATTGTTCTTTTGCTCCACCTCCTCATCATTCTTATTTTATTTTTTTTCTTTTATAATTTTTGTTATTTTTGGATTTTCATTTTTATGTGCATAACTAATCTAATGTATATTTTGATTTTGATAGTAGAACAAACGAGATAATCTTGAAAGCGGAGTTTAGGGGCGAAAAGATAAGTATATCTATTTGTGCAAATTTGATTGACTTTCTTTTACATGTGAAATGTATTTTACACATAACTATTTCTACATCTTGTGTTTTTTACTTGTTATTATCATTGTTTATATTATTTTCAATTCCCAACACTCATTATCTCACTGTTTGCTTTTCATTTTTCATTATTGTTTTCATGTTTTACACAACCTATAATTGCATAGTATTTATTTGATTATATGTGCTTTGTTTGCTTATCTATTAGATTAATTATGTTTTATTTCCTTTTTTTGGGTTGTTGGTTTATAGTTAGGGTTGGGGATTAGGGCTTAGGATAGGGATTTGGGATTAGGGGTTAGGGATTTGGATTTATTGTTCTTTTGCTCCACCTTCTCATCATTCTTATCCTATTTTTTTCTTTTTTCCTTTTTGTTATGTTTTGGATTTTTATTTTTATGTGCATAACTAATCCAATGTGTATTTTGATTACAGTTGATAGTGGAATGGACGAGATAAGCTTTAAAACGGAGTTTAGGAGCGAAAAGATAAGTATATCTATTTGTTCAAATTTGATTAGCTTTCTTTTACATGTGAAATGTGTTTTACACATGACTATTTCTATATCTTCTTGTGTTTCTTACTTGTTATGATCATTGTTTCTATTATTTTTAATTCCGGACACTCTCATAAACCCATTGTTTGTTTTTATTTTTCGTTATTGTTTTCATGTTTTGCACAACCTATAATTGCATAACATTTCTTTGATTATTTGTGCTTTGTTTGCTTTTCTATTAGATAAATTATGATGTTTTATTTCTATATTTTGGGCTTTTGGTTTATAGTTAGGGGTTGGGGATTAGGACTTAGAGAGTAGGATTTAGGATTTAGGATTAGGGATTAGGAATTAAGACTTTAGAGGTTAGTGATTACGGATTACTGATTACAGATTAGGGGCTAGGGGTTAGGGATTTGGATTTATTGTTCTTTTTCTTCTTTTGCCCCACCTCCTCATCATTTTTATCCTTTTTTTTTTTATTATTTTTGTTATGTTTTGGATTTTCATTTTTACGTGCGTAACTAATCTAATGTGTATTTTGATTTCAGTTGTTTGTGGAATGAACGAGATAAGTTTAAAAGCGGACATTAGGAGCGAAAGGATAAGTATATCTATTTGTGCAAATTTCATTGACTTTCTTTTACATGTGAAATGTGTTTTATAAATGACTATTTCTACATCTTCTTGTGTTTTTTTCTTGTTATGATCATTGTTTCTGTTATTTTTAATTCCTAACACTATCATTATCTCACTATAATTACATAGCATTTCTTTGATTATATGTGTTTTGTTTGTTTTTCTATTAGATTAATTATTTATTATTTTTTTTTTTGGCTTGTCGGTTTATAGTTAGGGGTTGAAAATTAGGGCTTAGGAAGTAGGGATTTGAGATTAAGGATTAGACATTAGGGTTTTAAAAATTAGGATTACGGATTTTGGATTAGGGGTTAGGGATTTGGGTTTATTGTTCTTTTGCTCTAACTCCTCATCATTCTTATTTTATTTTTTATTTTTATTATTTTTGTTATGTTTTGAATTTTTTTTTTATGTGCGTAACTAATCTAATGTGTATTTGATTTCAGTTATTAGTGAAATAGACTAAATAAACTTGAAAGCGGAGTTTAAGAGCGAGAAGAGAAGTATATATATTTGTGTAAATTTAATTGACTTTCTTTTACATGTGTAATGTATTTTTTACATAACTATTTTTACATCCTCTTGTGTTTTTTACTTGTTATGATCATTATTTCTATTATTTTCAATTTCGGACACTCTCATTAACCCACTATTTACTTTTCATTTTTCGTTATTGTTTTCATCTTTTGCACGACCTATAATTGTATAACATTTCTTTGATTATTTGTTCTTTGTTTGCTTTTCTATTAGATAAATTATTATTAATTTTTTTTTTTGGGGTTTGTTGGTTTATAGTTAAGGGTTGAGGATTAGGGCTTAGGGAGTTGGATTTGGGATTAGGGATTCGGGATTCGGGATTAGGACTTTAGAGATTAGGGATTAGAGATTACGGATTAGGGGTTAGGCGTTAGCGATTTGGATTTATTGTTCTTTTGCTCCACCTCCTCATCTTTCTTATCCTTTTTATTTTATTTTATTGTTTTTGTTATGTTTTATATTTTCATTTTTATGTGCGTAACTAATCTAATATGTATTTTAATTTCAGTTGTTAATGGAGTTTAGGAGAGAAAAGATAAGTATATCAATTTGTGAAAATTTAATTGTCTTTCTATTGTATGTGAAATGTGTTTTGCAAATGACTATTTCTACATCTTCTTGTGTTTCTTACTTGTTATGATCGTTGTTTCTATTATTTTCAATTCTCAACACTCGCATTATCTCACTATAATTGCATAGCATTTCTTTGATTATATGTGTGCTTTATTTGCTTTTTTTATTAGATTAATTATGTTTTTTTTGATTTTTTGGCTTGTCGGTTTATAATTAGGGGTTTGAAATTTGGGCTTACGGAGTAGAGATTTGAAATTAGGGATTAAGGATTAGGGCTTTAGAAATTAGGGATTAGGGAGTAGGGATTTGGGGTTAAGGATTTGAGTTTATTGTTCTTTAGCTTCTTTTGCTCCACCTCCTCATTATTCTTATCCTATTTTTTACTTTTACTGTCTTTGTTGTATTTTAAATTTTTATTTTTATGTCCGTAACTAATCTAATGTGTACTTTGATTTCAGTTGTTAGCAGAATACACGAGATAAGCTTGAAAGCGGAGTTTATGAGCAAAAAGATAAGTATATCTATTTGTGCAAATTTGATTGACTTTTTTTTACATGTGAAATGTATTTTACACATAACTATTTCTATATCCTCTTGTGTTTCTTACTTGTTATGATCATTGTTTCTATTATTTTCAATTCTGGATGCTTTCATAAACCTATAATTGCCCGACTTTTTTCTTCGATTATCTGTGTTTTATTTGCTTTTCTATTAGATTAATTATGTTTTATTTCTTTTTCTTGGCTTGTCGGTTTATAGTTAGAGGTTGAGAATTAAGGCTTATGGAGTAGGGACTTGAGATTAGGGATTAGAGATTATGGATTACGGATTAGGGGTTAAGGATTTGAGTTTATTGTTCTTTTGTTTCTTTTGCTCCACTTTCTCATCATTCTTATCCTATTTTGTCTTTTATAGTTTTTGTTATGTTTTAGATTTTCATTTTTTTGTGCGTAACTAATCTAATGTGTATTTTGATTTCAGTTGGTAGTGGAATGGACGAAAAAAGCTTGAAAACAGAGTTTAGGAGCGAAAAAATAAGTATATCTATTTGTGCAAATTTGATTGACTTTCTTTTGCATGTGAAATGTGTTTTACAAATGACTATTTTTACATCTTCTTATGTTTCTTATTTGTTATGATCATTGTTTCTATTATTTTTAATTCTCAGCACTCTGATTATCTCACTATAATTGCATAGCATTTCTTTGATTATATGTGCTTTGTTTGCTTTTCTATTAGATTAATTATATTTTATTTCAATTTTTTGGCTTGTCGATTTATTGTTATGGGTTGGGAATTTGGGCTTAAGGAGTAGGAATTTGAGATTATGGGTTAAGGATTAGGGCTTTAGAAATTAGGGATTAGGGATTAGACATTAGAGATTTGGGGTTAGGGATTAGTGATTTAGATTTATTGTTCTTTAGCTTCTTTTGCTCTACCTCCTCATCATTCTTATCCAATTTTTTACTTTTATTGTCTTTGTTATGTTGAATTTTTATTTTTGTGTGCGTAACTAATCTAATGTGTACTTTGATTTCAGTTGTTAGCGGAATGGACGAGATAAGCTTGAAAGCGGAGTTTAGGAGCAAAAAGATAAGTATATCTGTTTGTGCAAATTTGATTAGCTTTCTTTAAATGTGAAATGTATTTTACACAGTATTTTTACATCCTCTTGTGTTTTTTACTTCTTGTGATCATTGTTTCTATTATTTTTAATTCCGGACACTTTTATTAACCCACTTTTTACTTTTCATTTTTCCTTATTGTTTTCATGTTTTACACAACCTATAATTGCATAACATTTTTTGATTATTTGTGCTTTGTTTGCTATTTTATTAGATAAATTATGTTTTATTTCTATTTTTTGGGTTTTTGGTTTATTGTTAGGGGTTGGAGATTAGGGCTTAGGGGGTAGGATTTAGGGTTTAGATTAAGTATTTGGGATTACGGATTAGAGATTAAGGATTAGGATTTTAGAGATTAAGAATTTGGGATTACGGATTACGGATTACGGATTAGGGGCTAGGGGTTAGGGATTTGGATTTATTGTTCATTTTCTTCTTTTGCTCCACCTCCTCATCTTTCTTATCCTATTTTTTGTAACTAATCTAATGTGTATTTAATTTCAGTTGTTAGTGGAATAGACGAAATAAAATTAAAACCGGAGTATAAGAGCGATAAAATAAGTATATCTATTATTTTCAAATCCGGACACTCACATTAATCCACTGTTTACTTTTCATTTTTCGTTATTGTCTTCATGTTTTACACAACCTATAATTGCATAAAATTTTATTGATTATTTGTGCTTTGTTTGTTTTTTTAATAGATAAATTATGTTTTATTTCTTTTTTTTGGGTTGTTGGTTTATACTTAAGGGTTGGGGCTTAGGGAGTAGGATTTGAGATTAGGGATTACGGATTAGGGATTTGAATTTGGATTTATTGTTCTTTTGCTCTACCTCCTCATCTT